GGGGCTCGCGTGACCATCTGCTTTCTGTTCCCGCGCTCGTGGCAGGCCCCAGCGGCCTGTAAGCTGTGTCTGATGTGCCAGAAGCTGGTGCAGCCCGGGGACCTGCACCCCATGGCCTGCTCGCACGTGCTGCACAAGGAGGTGAGTGTGCTCCGCGCTTCTCCGGAGGCTCCTCGTGGTGCTTCCCCGTGGCGGGCCCTTCCCAGGCCGGCCGTGCCTAGCGAGTCCCCAGGACTCCCGTTTGTCCCTGGAGGAGGGCGCGTTTGGTGACGAACGTCTCTGTGCCCTGTCACCCTGTCTCCTCGCTGCTAGCTGGGCCACCCCGCTGGGCTCTTCGGTAGTGGCCTCCAAAACACGCGTGTCTTGGTTCTTGCCTTGGAGCCTGCGCTCCTTCGTGGCGGGGGAGATGCCGGCCTGCTCCCTTCCTGGAGAGGGACGCGGCGGGCAGAGCTTGGGCACCGGCTGTCGGAGAGGGCTGGGAGGAGGAGAAAGAGACTCCTCCTGCAGCGCTGCCTGTGCAAAACCCTCCTCCTGACGGCTGCTTTATGGCCCCGAGCGACTCCGGAGGACACCGTGAGCTCCGGAGAGCCCCGCGCTGCTGCTGCCGCTGCACTGAGAAGGGCTCCGTCATCACGGTGGCCCTTCGGTGCTTCTAGGGAGCCAAGGAAAGCAGCCCCTAAAGCGAGGGCGCCTTCCAGCACGGCTCTGCAGCGGGAAAGCCGCGCTGTGCCCACAGCCTTTGGCTCGTGCCACTGGCTCCTGACTAGTTCTCTCTCTTCTAGTGCATCAAATTCTGGGCACAAACCAACACAAATGACACTTGCCCCTTTTGCCCAACCCTCAAATGATGCTGCCCGAACAAAGCGTCCCCGCGGGAGGAGTTGCTGTGAATAGACAGGATCAGTTCGAAGATTTCTACAGTTCTATATTTATACGACCATGTATACACATGTACATTTTTATTATATAGGTAATGTGTGTATAGAAAGTCTGTATACATACAAATTCATAAATAAAGTGTGTATATTATGCAGTGACTTGCTGCTGCCCTCCTTTGTTGGTGTCCTCGCCCTGCTGCCTTCCTCGCTAACGCGCCTTGGAAAAGGGGTTGCCGGCCGGGCCGCTGCGCGCCCAGCGGCCGGGATCGCGGCATGCCCTTCCCGGGCAGCATTCCCAGCGCTTCCCACCGAGCATTCCCAGTGCGCGAGGGCCCCTGCCCCGCGCCCCGGCAGCGCCCTCCTCTGCCACATCCCTCCACTGCTCCTCGTGCTCCTGCTCCTTCCCCTCCTAGCAAGGAAGAGCTTGCAGGCAGAGAGGGATTTTTGTGGGTTTTAATATAATAATAATTTACCGTGTTAACATTCATTGTTCTTACATAGACGTTAGGTTACAGAGTACTGGAGTCTACAGCAGCAGCTGGGGGTCACGC